ACAGTATCATACGAATTACGTTACATTGTTACATACCTACACTTATACTTTTTGAATTATAGAAAGTCAGGCGTCAAATATTAAAAAAATACCGGAAAATGTCATGAGTTAAGATGGTTAAAGGAAAAGCGAAACGCGTGCATGTTATTATAAATTATAGCACATAGATACAAGATATATATTATGAATAATGTGGATACAAGAAGGGAAATTCGGAAGTGTAAAATTAAAATCTTATAGTACTGAAATTGTATGTAGTATGTCAGTATGTACTATGTATAGTGCCATAGTGGGAAAGCAATGCGCGATAGCTGCGGACATGGGTAGTCAACCGGAAGAGACGGTAACACACGATTCAAGACGACGCCGTCTGGTTCCGGTATAGTGATAGACTGTTAGGCGGTAGCTAATATACATAGTGGGGGTACCTATAATATAATTTATAAACCTGGGATGTATCGAGTGGGAAGTGGGAATTCTAGGTGAGAGCAGAGAGCAGCTCACTCGGCGCCTCGGTAATCGGTATACTAATCTATGCTCGTCGCTCGGGCACTTGGCTATATTACTATTTCACTATCGTCGGATGCTCGAAACAGTGGAGATTGAACACGTACGTTTCTGTAAAGACGGTTCAACTGCTGTAAGCTGTTGTACACTATTTCGGTTCGAAACGATCGATTAAATAAGCCGCGGTATTACGGTATTGCCACTGAATCTATTAGCCCATGAACATTTGAATAGGTAGATGAATTATTTATCGTGTTTACAACACAATGGTCGTTGCCGGACGTCGGCTTTGCAATGAAGTTAAAAGACAACAATAAGTCAAAATTATGATACGCACATCACGAAACTTTTCCTCGTTCTAATTAAAACTGCGCACGTAGGTACTAAACAATCTATAGTAACGTCGTCATTTAATATTATACGATATACCAACCAGATACCTATACTATACTTAATGGCTAATCCAGCTTATGTTACCAATGAATACATAATTATTACTTTAAGATTGAAAATGATCTATTCCTAGGCTTTGTATATACCTATTGTGAGTTAGTTGTTAATAATTTACTGATTAAGTTGATTTTGTGATTTATAGGCTGGCATTGATGAGTTGCGTGTTGTGTCGCTACTACCAATGGACATTCAAATGTTTGACTGGCGGCCTGTTGGTCAGAGTCTACCTAATTGGTATAGTAGTAATGCATTCCATAATCATTCTACTTGTGATGGTTTTGGTGAATCGGAGTGCCCAGGGTGCTATATACGACACAAAAGCTAGACGCGTCGTTCCACATCTACTAGTTGCCAAGTATGAATCATGAAAAACAGCTGACCAAACTTGTATAGTTCATATAAAATATATTTATTACTTTATAGAATCATTTTACTCTTACCAGAGATTGCATTAAATGTGCTCGGAACTATATGGACCTATACAAATTGTATACAATGCGATAATGAACACTTTACGAGTACCGTAGTGGAAAGTAAATATAATTCATTGTGTGTTATTAATTTTGATTATTAAAAAATACTAATGTATTAATGATTAAACAATGTATTGATTATTTTAGTTGGAGTACTATTCAATTGGGTCATGTTGGGAGGTTTGATATTCGTACTAGCCATGGTGTTAGATCCAGTTGGATCTTTAAAACTTCAAGAAGGAGCTAATGGTAATATAGATACAGATGTGGTGTTACACCGAAAAGTAACCCGTATTTGGGTGAGACGCTTCAGATGGTTCTTTTGTTGGTTGATTAGAGATGAACATTCGCATGAAGCGTTTTCTCAAGCCGCTGGTTAGTAATGAAAACTTTAAATCACACATTTATATAAATAAGACATAAATTAAATTGTTATTCGTCTTCTTATTTTTAGGATTGATGAGTTCTATGTTTAGAAATACAGATATTGTACCATCAGACTTTATTGCCGGTTTTGTGTTACTGAGAGTAAAACAAAAGCGTGAGTCTAGAGAACAAAGACGACTTGCACTTTTAGCTGAGCAAAGATACAATTGTACCTCTAGTAAGTCAAAATAAAATTGTTCAAATAAAATAATTTAAACAATTTAATGTTTGTTTTTCAGTTGTAAATGAATGTTTTACTGGAAAACCAAATTGGATGTGTCTTAAAAAAGCCAGGCATTACCTCCAATTATCTGTTGCTATTTATGGTTGGCCATTCTTGATTTATCGTTATTGTATAACAGGATTATTTAAAATGATGCCAAAGTTTTTTTGCTGCGCTTGCTTTAGGTAAATTGTTCAATATTATATTTCAACTGTAGTAAATCAATTAAAATTAATTTTTTGCATAGAACTAAACCAACTGTGGTCAAAGAGGATAACTGCTGTCTGTGTAACTTTGCAGCAATTCGATACATGTCAAAATTACATTCTAAAGATATTTTGTTTGCTTCGTTTGTCAACCATATATTTGAATTACCATTTTTTGTTACTGTTGATCATGAAACCAGTAGTATAGTAATCGCTATAAGAGGATCATTGTCAATGCGGGATATATTTACGGATTTGACTGCCATAGTAGAAAAATTAGACGCTTATGGTGTTCCATCTGACAGCTATGTAATACTAATAAATCTTAGAAATAACTAGGATCTGGTCCTATAAATATATGTTGTTTCAATTTAGGCTCATAAAGGAATGTTATGCAGCGCAAAGTATATTAAAAAGGAATTAGAAGATCATAATGTTATAGAAAAGGCTTATACCAATTTTCCAGAATACAATCTTGTAATCACAGGTATGAACTCTACAAGTTTAACTATGAATAAATTTGGCATTATTAACTTATCATTGATGAATAATGTTTAATGTGTGATCCTTAGGACATAGTTTAGGTGCAGGTACTGCAGTGCTCTTAGCATTTTATATGCGACCACTCTATCCTAATCTCAAAGTGTATGCTTTTGCTACACCAGGTAATTAACACAGTTACTGTATACAGTGTACTAAAATTACTTATTAAATCTTAAACATTGATTTTAGCTGGATTATTAAGTCGGGAAGCAGCACGAATAGCTGAAGAGTTCACATTGTCCGTAGGTGTTGGTGATGATATGGTTATGCACATGACAATTGATAATGTTGAAGATTTACGAACAAACATGTTACAAGTTCTACAATCATGTAGATTACCAAAAGTAAGGTTTTTTTTAATAATAATTAATGAATTTTATAGATAAATATTGAAAATGTAAAATTACTTTTCTTAATATATTTCTTTATATATTTTGGGTAAATCTAATATCTAATAATCATTTTAATCACGTACATTTTTCTAATTATTTTATTATATTTTGTTTTTAGTACCGAGTATTTCTAAATGGATTTGGCTATGCATTATTTGGTGTACCATCGAGGGACCTTGAATCTACATGGCGCCATCGGACTACTTCGGAAATGCGTAACTCTCCACTGCTATCTATGCATTCACCCGTTCTGTCTATGATTACACAGAATGATGGCTTCCCAACTGATACCATTAGTAATCATCATCTAGTCCCTACAACGTCATCATATCCTAATGAACAACCAATTTCTGTTTCGCCTACTTATAATGTAATTATAACTTGTACACTTATACAATCTATAAGAAATATGTATTTTATTTGAAGTATTCAAGTTGTAATGTAAGTTATTAATGAGAACCTATTGATCTTATTCTTAGGAATTAGCTGTCAGAAGGTATTCAAAAATTCGTTTATATACTCCTGGTCATATACTACATATAACTAAGAAAAAGAAAAGTAAAGAACAAAAAAAAGCTGATAAGTATGTGTCATATGCAACTAGTAGAATTTTTGTTTTCACTTTTCACAAATATTTCATAGTTATATTTGAAATACTTAACATACTATAAACATGTTTGTTTTGATTGTTAATAGAAAATCTGGCACAAACAGTAATGAATATAATTATGAAATGCGATGGGCTACACCTGAAGATTTTAAAGAACTGAGAGTAATGCCCCGTATGCTATTGGATCATTTGCCGGAAAATGTTTTAAAAACTCTTGACAATGTGCTTGAAGAACAAAGAACAGAAATCGGATTTGATTTAGCTCAATTAACTATGATCTAAGTACTACAAAACAATTATTTACTTTATAAAACTAGAGCTTTATAAAGTTCGTGCTCAAATTCCTCTGTCCAATAATACACCAAGCTAAGTTATTATTATATTTTTAAGTACAGTAAACTACAAAATTGTAATTTATATTTAAGTATTAAATATATTTGATAACATTTACTTAAAGGGGAGTGGGGCATAATATATTCCTACAAATGTTGCAATTACAGTATTTTATGAATTGATGGTCTGATTACTGTGTGAAGTGTGGTTGTTGATCTTAAATTATTACTAGCATCTCCTTGAATATAGCCTTAATTTATTTGATTAAGAAATTCATATCAACGAGTCAATATCTGAATGTCGAAAATAAAATTAAACTTCCATGGATTCGTATAGAATCTAATAGTAAAGTTTTCGATTTATGTGTAAGTATTATTATTATTATTATTTTTATTATTTTTTTATTTTTTCCATTTTCATTTATATTATTGTTATTATTATTATTTCATTTATTTTAAAACACTGTTTTGACCTCAATCCTTAATGTTTTTTTTTCAAATTATATGTATCTCCTACACATTTTATGATTTTTATTTAAAAAAATCTTGATAGTATTATTATTTATATGTATGTATACTGATGTACTTAAACTCATTGAATCCATTCAATTGAAATTGTATTCTGTTTGTTGCCAATATATGTATTGGTTGACAAAACTAATAATCTGTGATAACTTGTATATCTTAAGAAAGAATTTTACTGATAAGGGTACATATTTTAAATAAATTACTATATTTTTTGTAATGCATTTAAAAATTATATTTAATTCACAGTGGCCTGAATTATATAAAATACAATGTACATTTTATTTAAAAAAAAAAAAAAATATTTTTATAAATATGAAATGTTAAATGTTATTGTATTCTATTTATATTAAGGACAAATGTACATTTCTATATTTTTTACTTTCTCAATTTATATAATAAATCAATACACCCCTCATTTCTCATCCGTATTACCATAGTAACTATTGTAAACAAAGCAATAAACTGTATCTGACATCAGCTTGTTTCGCTTAAGCAATAAAAGAAAAGAATAACATTAAAATATATCTTTCTCATTTATTTAATTTTTTTTTGAGTTCCATCATCCGCTTATCAACATGAGCTGTAATAATTATTGCAATGTGTACGGTTATGATTATCATACACCTACAGAGTGGCGATATAATAGTGAACAGGAAATCACAGCAGCCGAGGAACAACAAGAGTTAGCCCAAAGGTTGACATTGGAAGCCGATCGGTTATTTGGCCAGGCTAAGGACTCTGTGATGAAAAACAAGTTGGACATTGACCACCGATCCAAGGTGAAAGTCAGAGACATAGAGTACAAATGTAGGGAAATCGAAAAACAGAAATACGATCTGGATGAAGAAATTTGTTTACTGTTGGGCTATCAAGTGCGCATCAAAAACTCCAACAAACTGCTTGTCGGTGACGCACTTGACGTCATCGCTGAGTGTCTTAGACTCAGGTGAGAATTACTTATAAAAAATTTACAATTACATGATATGTAATATGAATATGAAATGTCTGTGGAATATCAGGATGATCCATTTAACAAGCTAGTTGCTACATTATATTATAATTTTTAAATTTTTGAAAAAGAAAAATGTTTTTTGTATCAACCCAGGTATTGAATTTCGGTATTTAATACTGATTTTAAAAAAAATTAATTTTTACAACGTTTTAGGATGTTTTCTAAATATTTGAATTGTTTAACAGACAAACAATTCTGAATATTTGTTTGTGTATCCTAATCCTTGCCATTTTTTCCTCCACTCATCTACACTTTTGGTAATTTTAAATTTAAAGAAAAGACTATTATTATTCAATATTTAATACATTATTAATTATGCACAATGTTTTAGTAATATTTAAGTATTCTGCTCCCATATATAAAATTAAAAACTCACTGAATTGGTAATAATAAAATATAGAAAATACTAAATTTTTTTGTAAAAATGTCTACCCATTAGGTAGTGTACCTAATAAATACTTCTAACTATAAAAAAAACCATTTTTCAAAAACTCAAAAATGTACTTATTAAATTGATTCCTCCATATAATGTTCTACGTCCCTACATATAGAAACTGTCGTCAGAGTATAGACTTGGTGTTTGACGACGTCGAGAAAGAACTATTACGGGAACGCGAACTGATCTTGGGTATTAACGATCAACTTGAAGATTTGCAAGATAAGGTCGAGCTGCAGATAAGGAAATTGAGAGCGTTCGTTTACAACTTGGCTGTGGATTTGCGTTGTAAGAAAAATGCGTTAAAAATTGAAGAGTACAATGAAAATCTCAACGAAAACATGGTCGAAATATCAATTTTGAACAACAAAAACATATTCAAACCTGCGTAAGTATTTTCTCGTTCCTGTGAGATTTGCCCCATCCGTGGAGGTTAGCGAAGATCCAAGGATCATCCACTTGATGTGTACGTTACACGTGTCTATTCGCTCCCTTGATTTCTTTTGAAACCTACTAAATTTTGTTTTTGAAATTATCTTTAGTTCTTAACTTCTTATGTAGGTACTAAATAAATAATAATGTGGTCTTATATTGGCTAAGTATTCCAAATTATAAGACAATAATACTTTTAAAAAGGTACTGAGTTATTAGAGATGCTGATTTAGGTATTCCCTCGTGATTTCCTTTATATGTACCTATCCCTGAGCCTTGGACTCTATGCCTAACAGTTGTTACATATATTAATTTAATAAATATAACACAAAATATTTCAAATGCGAAAGTTTCAAAAAATCATAATAAATTATTAAATCAATACCTACAGCAAATATCAGATAGGTAACCTAACTATTAAAAATGCGATGAATTCTATACGTACACTAATCAAAAATTTAACTCGCTCTCAAATCTCGATCAGTCAATTTTTAAAATAGAGAAAAATATAATGTATAATATTAAAATTTAGTAGTGCGTTTGAAATATTTTGTGTTATCTTTATCATTGAACACATTTCATACAATAAATATAAACCTTAAACTTGGTATAATATAACTGTATATATAGTGCACACTCAATTATACTTATAATTTTTCCATGTACGTATTATATCCTATATGCAGCACGATTTCGACCACGGAATGGGATCGATTCACTTTAGACATTATTTCGGCGGCCAATAAAGTACTAGTGGACGGACGACCAATTCGTGCATTTTTTGACAAATGTCTGAATAAAATGATCAACGATCTGGTAGGCCAATCGGACACAGTCAACTTGGCGTTTAGACTTCGAGTGGAAGAATATCTTGAAGTGATTGAAAAATTGAATAAACAAAGAGACGAAGTATGTTTCTGAACACACTAAAATCCTAATCGTGTATAGTGGATGCTGATAATTACCTTGGCCTGAAATATGAGAACATTTGTTTCTGACAGACAATTACTATTCGATTTATCACATACACACATATTATGAAGTATAGGCACCCCTGTAGGTAACGAATAAATGACTTACGCATTTCATCAGATGCATTAGAATAGTCCACCCCCTTCCCTAATATAGTTATTACCATTTCCCCCCTAATAAATGTATTATTTATACACGTAATCTGTACTATATAAAACTTAATTCTAATTTATACTTAACCCCCTCCCCCGTTTCATAATCATGACTACGCCACTGGCCCGATGTGTATGTATGTTAGACACAGACAATACAACGTTCTAATTAGATTCGTTTACTTAGCCAATTATTGTAATTTTGAAAATGAAAAAATCCTGTTGATGATTAAATATTGGTTGAGTGGAGTGAATTAACGATGGAAATATCACGAAGACTCGAAGTGCATTATTTTTACTCTTTTCATTTAAACTTTTTGTTTATAATATTACTGTCTATTGTTGAAAACTACATATTAATTAATATTTCGAATTTCGATGTATCTACTACGATATGTCGATATTACTAGAGGAGTAGGTAACACAATAAATAATAATACAATAGTCAATAATCAACATCAACATTTTTGAATAAGATTTCTGCGTCCCTCGATTATGAAATCAAAATATAGGTTATTTAAAGAAAAAACATATTCAAATATGGTTAACAACAATTCAATTTCATCAAATTGGTCATAATCTTGCACATTCTTGACACTGTGAAATAGCTCGTAACTGTATCGTGTTGCGTTCACTTATAAACATAGTTATTGTCCGTATACTTATGAAGTGGGCCTATACATAAGTAGACATGCAGCAGTAACGTATATTATCTGTTTCCTATCCGATTTACAGACGGTCAAAAACGTCGAAGAAGTAGAAAAAACAATCGATAAACTGAAAAACACCATCAGCGACAGGGAGGCGTATTTAGCGCTGGCGCACACGCGGCTATCGAACCGGACTCGCAGGGAGGGAGTCGAGCTGTGCCGAGATGAGCTGGAATTAAGACTGTACGACGAAGTGTTCCAACTGGAACACGACGTGCAAAGTCTGCAAAATATGATGGCCGAATCTGTGGTGTGTCGGAGACGTCTCAAACAGTCCATCGCCCGTATCGATGGGCAGCTGAAAGTCAAACAGAATTCGTTGCACATCGATGCCGAGCTGTGCGCCGAGCAACGGAAACGCATCAACTATAGAGCCTTTTGAAATGCTCGACGGATGCGGATTAGTTTTTTTTTTTAGTGTAGTTTTAACTTTTTTCTCCCGTAACACCTTTTATCCATGGGTAACATAGGTATGGTTTACATATTTCTTTACAAAATTCTTAAACTAGTCTTAATAATATTAGCATCAATTTAATTTACATTAAATGCATTATGCAACCGCCTATTATGATTGCTGCCCCTGAACACGCAATACACATCGTCCTCAAGTGCTACATATATACTGTCATATTAACACACCAACCTTCATTATTAATAGTACTCGTGACATGTATTAATTGTGTACCCATAATGTATAAAAATAATATAGTAGGTATATCACTCATCATGTGTGGTTTGAAGGGGCTTAGTTTCCCCTCCACAAATCCCCTTTATCGCACCACTGCGTCAACACACACATACTTTATAGTTTGTTGTTCAGTCGTAGAATTATGATAGCTTTTTGTATAGGGTATTTATTAAATACGTACATCACTGTCACTTGAGCATTTTTAGGTTGCGATATATCCTTAATTCGACACTGATACACTCAAATATCATACTGCTGGTGCGAATTCAGGAGGGGGGCTATGGATGCTCGCCGCTCGATCGTTTAAGCCACCAATAAAATAAATTTATATTATTAATTACGTAAACTAAAATAAAAAGGCCCAACTTTTTTTTTTTAAGCACCCCTGTTAAAATTTTCCGAATCCGCGCCTGATGACGAAAATTCGAGCACATTTAATTTACATCGTAATTAATGGGGCGCTGCTTTTGTCCGATTTACTACCTAACGAATTTTGCAGTCGAATTACTGCGTAGGGGGCTTCTACGCAGCGTTGGAGACTGTAGTACGTCATTATATTGAATGATGAATACTACAACTGTATTACCTAACTTCGGATGGGTTAAAATTAATCTATCTTCCTATTGTTTTTCGTTATGATTCAGTTGAAATATATAATACAAACACAATAATAACGATTCATTTTATGATTTTCCACTTCTTAATTCTAGAAATCTTTTTGATATAAAAACTAAAAACTGGAAATGTTTTAAATGCCGACGTAAATAAAATATCGTTATAATTGATATTCGTCTGTTTAAATTAAAAATAGGTATATGTATAGAATAAAGAAAGCTAATCCTAAAAGTAATTATTGTAATTATAGATACTTTAAGTATGTTTGATTTTAATTTTTTTATATATATATTTATAAGCATTATTATATGCCATATTTGATATTTCTACTTATTATAATAGTAATATAATGTATAACCAGTCTCAAACATTTAAATAAACAAAAAAACATTCGATTTTTGTGAGCCAAAAACTAAATTCACATGAGCAACCTATAATAAAGGTACAACAAGCTAAAATATTAAAACCTTCCGAGTCTCAAAGAATGTGTTGATATAACTTTTATTGAAAATGGTCTAGTATTTTTTAGGTCTATGAAGGACAAACAAAGATTAATTTTTATGTATATATACTTTGTTCGTGGGTACACATGAGAGTGGGATATACTACAAGATTGACAAGAAGTGATGTATACTGTATTGTATACTATGTTTAGGTAGATAAGGGTATGTATAGCCGTATAGGTATGATAACAAGATGTCAAGATCAAGCAGTGGTAGTTTTATAAGGGAAGGGTTGAATTATCAGTTGACGCCATGTTAAAGTTTAGATGAAATTAAAAACTTGTAAATTTGAGTATACCAAAGGAGATTATCAAACCTGAGCTAGATCTAAGAAAGAGGTAAATTAATTATATTAATTTGCTATTGTTATATAGAAAGTATAGCATGGCGAAAATGACAAATGTAGTAATTAAAATTGTTAAAACATTCCAGATCAGGCTTTTGCTGGTATTATATTGGTCCTTATTATAAGTTGATGTCATCTATCCTAAGGGCTAAGACCTAATATTATGTAAGTTTGAATTGTTATAACGGTGATACACCTGGACACGCAGCATGCTTCTGGTGAGCGTATAGTTTCTTTATTTTAAGGAGGTAATATTATTAATATATACATGCACGTTCTAATGTATTAAATATTATAGGTATATAAATATAATATTGTACTAATTCTATAAATACTCACCAATAGTTCTTGTATTTAATGATTTTGATACATTCGTTCTAATGATTTACATAGACTTAAAATGTGGATAAGAACAAGAATATCCCAGTTTGGGATTTTAAACTTCAGCCTTGACAGACTACATAATAATAGGTATGTATCTATGGTGCAATGGTGGTCATTACTAAATATCACAATTCACAGCTGATTTGCTTTATTATATAATAAATTTATCAGAAAATTAGTTTTTGGATTTTTCAGTAGGTAAAGCGTGTCAGCGTTGTTGGCTATACTTTTGCAAATATATTTTATATAGGCAATCAAATCAAATAATTATGCATCGGGGACCGGGGTTCTCGAGATATATCCACCATACTCAACTACAATTGTATACCTACATAAACGTCTTACGGACGCGCATTATGACGTATATAAGCCACCACCGATCCATACTGATATATGAATATATGATAGGGCGAAGATACGCAGGCTTCAGCGATCGATCGATAAAGCTAACGGTTGCCGCGCGGCGATTGCTGCTCCCTCAGAACAGACCCTGCTCCCACAGACGTGTATATTATACAGAGTGTACCGCGAAGATCTGAAATTGTGCACTGATATACAAAATATGATGGTCATTAATCATTATCTACCTCGTGTACACACATGGCACATATTATTATTGTCTGAGCTCTGAAGTGTTTTTAATAACTCGGCGTTTTTGTGATATTTTAACAGCAACTATTTTCCTTTTGCCGTTTCTTGTTTTTTATATGAAGCCGAGAGGGACTACGCGGTACTTCATAATATACAATAGGACTTGCCACTGCCTCACATCTATTATTTAGGACATGGCCCATTCGGCTCCCGTTTCACCAAAAAGTGAATTCCCAAACGGTTTTGGTTTTTACAACAAATTCCTTCTCATTTCATACAGGCCGTTGATTTTGACCTCAACAATTTCGATATATTATTTAATATTTAAAAAATTATATATTGAGTAAATTTTGGTGAAATCTCTTTCGACGGAAGCCGTTTGGGAATTAGCAAACAATGGATGTTACGAATATTTTCATTCCCTCAACACTTTTAGTAATAAATCAAACGTTATTTTGATTTTTCGATTAATTTAGTACATAATATATTGGATATATTGCACGTTATATGTTACATGATGAGTAGACAATGAGTTATATACATGGTTTTTTCAATAATGCAATGATTTTTGTCATCACTCTTCAGTGTAGAAATAAGGTGGAAGTGATTTGCTATATTTGAAAAATAATCGCTAAAACCTCAGCGTTATAATATAATTTGTATTATTAATTATACGTATCATTACTATAACACGTAGAGTCGAAAATAATATAGTAAGTAGTAATATACCTATCATACACACTTGTAATATAGTGTTACAACTTAAGTGGACAATTGTAAATTTGAAAGTTTAACCCACAAAAAACAAAGTCCCCCTCCTCGTCAGAACGACAGCTGTTTTAACCAGTTATTCTGCTGCAGGTTGCCCGCAGGGTCTACCCCATTTCCACATCCCACTATCACATTAGCTATTTATACTCATCGAATCAATACAAGGGACCAAATAATAACTACCTAATAGTAAACTTAATGTACAAGTAGTGCACAACGAGTTGCCAAGTTGGTTTCATAATTTCGTAGTTCCTCTATAAAAAATTGCATGCCTGTATACCTATTTAACATTTCATGAGTTTTGTGCTCCACATATCTCTATATATTATATTTTAGTCTATGGTTTTTATTAAATGTGATTATTTTATCACCGTCTAATGTTTACTCATAATAGTATGTCTGTAGTTATATTAGTAAATTATATTGAAATTTACCTCAGCAACATGACGTGCCAAAAAAGATAAACAGTAAACATAGATATATGAAAAAAAAAGTGAGCAGTCGTGGGACGCCTGACAGATGTGAAACATTCAAACATTGAATTATTTTGTATAGAAAATAGGCGTGAAAGTTGAAAGTATGTATTAAAGAAAATATTAACATGGCATAATCAAAAACAAAATATCCGGTTTTTTTTGAGCAAAATTATTTTTTACTTACTTTAAAGGCGCATGCGGATACTCGCGGTTTGGGCGTCGAGTGCATGGCGTGCTTTGCGACGTCTTCGCGCCAACAGCCGGTCTCACCCACCGCATTAGATGTTTTACATCAAAAACTGCCAAAGCAAATCGGAGTAGTTATGCTAAAAGTCTAAAACTAAACCAAATAAATAAATAAATAGCTGTATAATATACTCGTATAATGTTATAGGTACACTAAACTTGTATACGTCAACATAATCAGCTTAACTAATGTTACATAATTTTTTTCGCATCAACCTTGCACAGTGGCGCAAACAGGAAAAATTGTACACGGTGACGATAGTTATACTCGTTCGGCATTCAATCAATAATTAGTATACGATATCGGATATATTGCCATACGGGTATACTTTAACAGCAACAACAATAACAATATAATACACATATTAAACGGCATTTCAATTTTACGGGAACTGTTCAGACGTGGAAAATATAATATCACACTACGGACTACTACATAATAATTTAACGTAATATTGTGTTCATTTGGCGAAGTCGACGTGAAATCAATCACTATGCAGCTCATATACAACACAACTTTGAAGCTGTAGAGTGTATACTGCAGGTGCATACAACACAAATATATAACGTGCAACATAGATTTTAATACCGTGTACCTATGGAGTTTTGTTTGTTGGGTGGTATACTGGTATTAAACCGTTCCAATAATAATGATTCAAACAAAAATTCCTTTTCCAAAGCCTAGTAAGCGTGTGTAATAAACACCCTTATAATTGCTTCGTCCGGTTGAGTTCTGCAGGTATACTTTATACAAGCATAATTACTAATTAGTCAAACAATAGTCTAACCACGAGTGGTACTCAGTGGTAGCAAAGTATACGCGAATGGTGTGTACTGGCCTTAAGCAAACAATCAATAAGAATTATTGTCGGTAGGTACCTTAATACCTATTTATGATCTCGAATCAATATGAATTAGAATTGTTATCAATTTATCATTATATTATGCAGTGTACATACGAGCTGTTGTATTTTAAACGCATGTACAATAACAATATATCATATACCTAATACCTATATAAATATATTATATTTTGAGGCCTGGTGCAGTGGCCCGATGGTTGGCGGCAGTCACTGATGTGTGCTAAGGTCGAGCATTTTCAGGCGTAGATCACCCGGGTTTTTAATTACGAATCCTCGCCGATTCTTTAGTTCAATAAATAAAGTTTAAAAATATATATATAAATAATATTATAAAGAACGTCTCGTTCGTTTTTTCTCTATTTTACAGACCCGTTTACCAAGTAAAAAAACGAAATTATGAAAAACAATGTAACTGTTTTTACTTTTGTGCGCTTTTCGATCGAATTCTCGGGCAGTACAACACCGCACTCATACACATAATTATATCATGTTATGCAACTTTTGGTGATAAAAAATAACAGACAATAAAGAGGCAAGGCCGGAAATTACCGGGCGTTACCAAATATTGAACTGTAGAGGTAGACTGTCGTTACATATCTGAGCCCAATGTCCATTGTCCATATTGTACACGCATTAAATGGTAAAACATCATACAACAGTGTGTTCCTGTAGGTACTTAATGTCTGTATACGCACAAAATTCAGAGCTGTGCTGATATGGTGGATTTAATATGTAGGAGGATAGTGTATACTACTATACTATTACTAGTTACAATGGATTATTGTGACCACTATTTATTTATAAGTATATTAATAAATATATGCTGTATAATATAGTCTAATATCTATATGCCTATACAAGAAAATGTTTGATACATACCTACATTATACAATTTGTTAAAATGCATAATTAAAACATATATATATATATATATATATGTTATACGTACACAACTTGTCACAAAATATAAAATATTTAAATATATTATTATGACTTGGCGGTATATAAGAACATGCAGGAGAAATATTGCGTCAAGGAAATAAGGCATACTGCACCTATATACATGTACTTAAGAACGAACTCTAAATAGTGGTGATAAAAAAAATTGAGTTTTTTTTG